GGCGAGCAGTACCCAAGAGACAGGCCATGTTTTGAAAAACACTCTCCAGGAACTCTGACTGAGTCTGAATGTGAAGTCCGTGGGGTCTTGGGCGGCTATCCTGGGTCTGCTGGGAAGGCGTCTGGGCAGGCGCTGCCATCCCACCCAAGTCTCCTTCTAGCTCTGCTTTCCTGATCCACCCAGCAAAGCAGTGGCCCCTGTGCTGAGACTTCTCTAACACATAGTGATAAAGAAAGAAAAGTCGCCTGCAGCTCGATGGCAGCTTCAAAGGATTTGCTATTTTTGTGGCTGTTTGATTAATCCGGGATACTATGGGTGGGAGGGGATCGCTTCTAAAGAGAATGACCCAACACCCTGGGATGCAGTAGACTCTGCAGAAAAGACTATGGACAATTCCTTTCATTTTGCTTGTTTTTAAAATGCTGCTCACTTCTAATTCATGTCACGTGAGTCCCCGTCCGACAACTGTCAAGGAGGAGCTTGGGCTGTGACTTTAAGCAAACACTGCTGATGTATTTCTGATGACATTAACAGTGCCACTCTCTCTGGCATGTTAACTCATCGGAGTTGATTAGGCTGTTACTGAAAGCTCAAGTTAGCATGTGTATATATTTCTAGCTGTAATTTGGTCCGATACCAATACACATATCAATAAAACCTGAATTAAATGTGAGATGACTGGCCTAAAACCAGAGCACAAAGGGTTTAGATTAGCTCTGATGACTTACCCAGGTGGACAGCTGCTAAGCACTGACACGGGTTATTAAGGGAAGTTGTGGAATCTGTTTGCCTGGAGGTTCTTAACTTAAAACAGTGTCCATTCTATAGAAGGAGCTTCCAGGATCTTGCCGGCAGGAAGACATCTTACTTAGTTTGGCTGTCAAGGTCTTCTAACCAAAATCACAGGTACTCTGCTCAAGGTATCCATTGAGGGGTCTTACACCCAGGTGGCATTTTGATTCCTTAACGCCTCATGTGCTGATGTGCTTTCTGTTAGGAGAGTTAGATGTTCCATTCCAGGTCAGACTAGCCGGGTGTGAACTCATTACCAACAGCTCGCTCTCATAACACTATGGTGGCTTTACTCTATAAAGTAAGGCAATTATGATTGTTGTTGTTACTACTGTTATACTAATAACTGTTATCACCACCTATCAGTTTTGAACGCTCACTGTATGTTAGGCCCTGTGCTAGCTCTTTACACTCATTACCTCCTGTTCCCCCCAAATTAACATTTTAAGATGAGTGTTATGATATCCACTTCATAGATGTTTAAACTGAGTCTTGGAGAGGCTAATAACCTGTTGATCATACAGCAGGATTCAGACCCAGCTCTGTCTGACTCTAAAGCTTGTTTTTTTGTATCACAAGGTGTGGCTGATACATCTAAAAGCACATCAGAGCGGAGTGTTGCTTTCTGCACAGTCTCTGTGGCAGCCACACTCTTCGGCCGGTGCTCAGCAGATGCTGGCTTCTCTTTGGACTTGCCTTCATTACCAGACACCTCAGAGGTTCATAGAGAATGACAGATTCCCCATCCAGCCCTGACATTTTAAATGAGATGAGAAAGACCTTCATGTCTATCACCTCTTTCATGTATAGGGGTTCTCATTAAGATAATAAAAGGTCTGCCACTAAAAATGTTTGCTAATGTAATACATTCTTTTGAAAATTCTCAGAATTCTTTGAAAATCCATTGGGCACTTGTCTTGAAGTTGGGGGCAGGGAGAAACACCTGAGGATTGTTCAGAACCAAACCTGGTGAGTTAGTAGAATTATCAGTCCAGTTATAAATAACAAGATATTAATGATAAAATGACGATGTCGATTTTCTCATGTGATATTTGTGACACAGACACTGATTGTGTATACCCTATGTTTCCATCACAACCAACTGCGGCCCCAACACTGACATCCATCTCAGAGTCCACACAGTGACCTAGAAATATCTTACCTATTCACTGACCAGTGTCCAAGAGAGGGCCAACATGATGCCCTAGAGGAAATGCATTAATCTAGCAGCTGGTGAATGTTGGAGCAAGACAGATGGTGGAGGCGATGATGTTGTGTGAATTGCTTCCCCTCTCAGCAGACTGCCAAAAATGCGCTCCTTTGCTATTTTTTTCTGTTGAGGAGGGGGTGGAAGGAAAGACTCTTTCACTGGTGCCTGTAACAGATACATTTTCCTTAAATAAGGTGTAGGTCAGTGACAGGGATAAATACTTTTTGTGCATATTCTAAATGGGAAAAATAAAACTTTTAGCCTTATGATGAAAAAACGGCATAATATTCTTTTGCTAAGAATTCAGAAATTATTATATCTAGAGTTTTGATTTTTTTTTCCTGGTAGACTTTGGGTTATGTATTGATTATTTATCACCTACAGTTAGATGCAGACAAAATCAGGCTTATTTTCTGTCCCTGTTCACCTCACAAACCCTTATCAGGTCTGAAGTTCCCTGTTGTCATCAATGGCTCCGTTCTTCTGTCAGCCTCCGATATGCCTAACTTTGTCTGTCCTTTCCCTTCTACTGTTCTGTCCAGGGAATTACCAGTTCTGTAAGTCCTTTCTCTGCAGGGCTTCTTGAAGCCCTATGCTCTACCCATTCCCACAGGGATAGGCTGTTCAGACCAGAGCACTGTATCTAGACAATGGGGATAGTTTTTAATCTCTGGAACCCTTAGTTCCCTCCTGTACAAACCACCCTGTTCAGCAGCAAGCATGCTTTTCACCATTTGCCTAACAGAAGTAAATTAGTTACGCACCTAGTGTTCTGTCACCCTATTGCACACTCACTGTCTTGAGGCCTTTTCTGTGCCCATCAAACCCTTTACTGTCCCTTACTTCAATCACTGTCCACCTCTGAGGCATCCAAAGACCATTCAGCCTGGCACTTTTCACCAAGTGATGCCACTTCATCCCTTCCTGACAGTGTTCAAGACTGTCCTTTGTCACGATGTTTTCCCAGAGAATATGCACTTTCCATGTTTTCATTCCTATCACTTTCTTCAACATCCTCTTATCCCTTAGGCACTGATCTATACAGTACAACTAAAGGTTGAAATTAAAAATTTACATGCCATTGTGTTTGTAATGCTACCCTCTCCATAAATTGTTCAAGCTTCTTTTGTGCAAGAATCAGTCTCCATTTTTGATGCTGCACTTGGGCTTCGGGCAGCCCCTATTCACAAGACAATTTTCCATTTTTAGTCCCGTTTCAGCCCAGGATGATCTTTAAAATCCCACATTTTCCTTACTGACTTTGAAGTCACAAAGTCCTTCCCCGTGCCCTGTAACCAAACTTCCCTGGCTGAATTTAATCAACACACTGGAAAACTTTGTAAAGAGTTTCCTTTATAAGGAAATCATTGAGTCTCAAAGCTGAATTTAAAAATAATTATTTCTTTATTCCAAAACTTATTTATTTAATGTTGTGTGGCAAAGAAAGATTTGAGATTTTTAGAAAGCAATTTCTGTCTACAAACAAGTTGTTAAATAATCAACCCAAAGTTAAGATGCCTACTAAGCTATTCAGCTAGGATATGTTTATTTTTTAAGTACCAGGATTTGTTAGGTAGATTCATATATATCAACTTTTTTTACCCTCAGAATGATTCTTTGAGATTTTATTATTCCCAGCTTATAGACAATGAAACCCAAGCTCAGTGCAGGTAAGTTCCGAGTTCGAGCTCACCAAATTACAAATGGTAGAACAGAATTGCTACTTCAGTTTCTTACCACCTAAACCTGGCACTCTTTCCTAATCCTGAGCTGCTCTGTGCCGAGGGCCTCTGGTTAGCACTGAGCCTCTTCATGAGAAAGAGGCCAAGGACCATGCAGCATGGTTGACAACAGTGCAGGCCAACAGACCCATGGGGAATGTGCCATGCTGGTTAGACATCGCAGTCCCATGTGCATTTGGAACTGTTTCTGGGCATTATTTCAGTTCTGTTGTCTTGTCTGTTTATTGATACTTTAGTGCTGTACTCCTAAGTCATGGAAGCTTTACATTTCAGTATCTGATAGGGCTCATTACATTTCCCTCCCAGATTCTTCTTCTTGCTTTGTTTATTAATTTTTGTTGACGTTTAGTCAGTTTACAGTGTGTCAATTTCTGGTGTGCAGCGTAATGTTTCAGTCATACATATAATACGTATATTTGCTTCCATACTCTTTTTCATTATAGGTTACTACAAGATATTGAATATAGTTCCCTGGGTTATGCAGAAGAAACTTGTTGTTTATCTATTCTTCTTGCTTTAGACTCAGCTTATCTAGTTCAAAACATCATTCTGAAGTTTTTGGGGTTTTATGTCAGATTTATAAAGCCAGGGAGAGCTGATATTTCAGTAATATTTTGTGTCTGTGTAACACAGAATATAGCAGGTTTTCCCATCTGTTCCAGTGTTCCTTTGTGTCTCTTTTGTTCCCTAGTACTAGGGTCTTTTGTGTTTTCACTAGATCACAAAGATAAATCTATCACTTTTTAAACAGCCTCCCTCTTAGTTTATTCTGTGTTTCCATATTGCTTTCTTTTCCTCTTTCTCTCTCTTTCTTTCACACAGCACACGAGGACAGACATACTACCTTCTTCATCTGCAGAGTGAGTCATCACAGGCATTGGAACGAATTTGAACAAAAAGGTCCAGGACCTTCTGTGACAGGTACACAGTAAGGTGTTCTTTCTCCCTAGAAGCGCATGGCAATAGCTGTCACAAGCTTCTTGGTGGAGGGACTTCTATCTCCTTCGTTCATTGCAGTTTTCCAAGTGCCTAGAACTGTACTCATTTACTCTCAATTCTATTTGTTGGCTGACTGCATGAAAGATCCAGTACATGCCTCCTTAAATCCCACTGGAACAAAGCCCTTGGTTTATGTTTTCTGGCAGGTGAAACTCACTCTGGGTATTTCGTTGTAGAAAGTGTGTTGAGAAGAGAAGCAGGGTATAGAGGATAATTATCTTCCTGCATATGCTCTACTGACCTATTTCTCCATTAGAGTATTAATAATAAATGCCCAAGGCTCTATTGAAAATAAACAACCTTATTCCTTTTTGCTTCTTAATAGCCAAAGCCCTGAAATTCACATTTGTACAACGATGGCTCTAAAATGCATCCTGACAGATGGATACTTCTTGAGCTGTCATAAGGCGATGAAGAAAATCCAGTCAAATGTGTGGGTTAAGTCGGCAGTGAGCAATCATCATTGTGAACCGTGTTATGAACCAAGGCTCCAGGTCTCTTCATTGTTACCCTGCTTCCTGGCAGCGTGGGATGGAAAGCGTGTGCAGGAAACACAGTCACAATGTGGTTTCACACGGGAGCTCAGGTTGCCTCCCGTGAATATGCACGACAAGCCTTGATCTCACTCTGGCTACTTGAGTTTTCTTGAGCTTCACTTAACCCCCACAAACCCATTTCCTGCCTATGATTCGAAGATGTTCCTTGAGGAGGTTTGAAAAAGTGAGTTGTTTCTCCAATTGTGGAGCATTTTGCTTTCTTTCTCTTCAAGATGACAAACTGTACCCTGATTTATTTTTCTTCACTGTGAGTCATTTGCTAGTCTTAGTTTATAAATAATATTTCTACATCTAACTCAGAGGCAGATGGGAAAGTTCAAGGAAACACCCTCTGGAAAGAGGGAAAGTCTGGATTTGCACGTTGGTGCCTTTGCTGGATCCCCCGATAAGCAGCGCTGCCATGAGGAAGTAAACAGATGGCAAAGGGTCCCAACAAAGCAGCATTTAGAGCGGGCTTTCTTTGCTTTAGAAGTGACTGCTATTCTGCTCTTACTGTGAACTCTGTGTCCTCCTGCGAATGTGAAAAACAAGCTGGAAACACTTTCCTGATATTCATAAAACAGGTCACCAGATCTAAAGGTGCTTGGCCAGTTGGGAGCTCACACACTCTTGCTAATCATCATTGCGTGTTGTCTTTGTGCGAGGAAATGGGGGTGGGGAAGGGCTCTGGTGCCTCTGAAGCCAAGGGGCAGCGCTCCAGGAACCCACGCGGCGCACAGCATGTGCTGGGAAATGCCAGCCTGTGTCGCTCCTCAACTTGGCATAGAGGCTCAACTCCTGTTTGACAAAATTTATAAAGCAGACAGGGAGTAGTAGGGATTGTCTCCTCTGTACACACAGTGAAGGGTGAGAAATGGGCATGTGTAGGTTGCTATGCAGTTGTTTTGCTGTTGATGTGGGAGCCATGCCAAGCAGCACTTAGACCCTGGGAACATTTTCATTATTCCATGGAGGTCCCAGCCTTTCCATCTGAACCCACGCTAATGTCTTTACCTTTAATGACAATTATTAGGGAGAAATATACCTTCTTTCTAGATGTGCTGCTGAGCCTGACGACCTCTTCCTGAAATCTGTTACTGACATTATCTTGGTTGTCACAGATTACGAGTTTCTAAAGAACTGTCTGTTTTGTTTGTTTGTTTTTAATGTTAGACATTCTTTTCTTATGGAACGTTCATATTTTAAAAATTGCTCAACACTATTTTGGCATTTAAAGTTCATGATTTAAGAGCTGATGATTTTGCCTCGTGGTTAAATGGTGAAATAGCAGGGTGAAAGTGAGGTTAACAGGATGTAAAATTCCAATTTGATTGGAGTCTTTCCTTCTGAAAAATGGTGAAAGAAATGAAAGGAAGGAAACATGGAAGTAAGGAGAGAGGGAAGGGAAAGAAAAAGGGAGGAAATCTATTCAAGGAACAGTTCTGAATAGGTAAGATTATTGACTTAATCTAAGTTTAGCTGAGCTAAGTCTTTTTTCTTCAATGGTTTTTTAATCTAAAAAAAGTAAAAAATTACATTCACATTTTTAATAGTTATTCTAATTTCACATTTTTTTCTTCCAATGTTATTGGGATATAATTGACAAACAGTGCTGTATAAGTTTAAGGTGTACAGCGTAGTGATTTGACTTACCTACATCATGAAATGACCATCACAATAAATTTAGTGAACAATTATCATCTCATATAGATAAAATAAAAGAAAAAAATTTTTCCCTTGTGATGAGAACTCTTAGGATTTATTTAACAACGTTCATATAAAACATACAGCAGTGTTAATTGTATTTATCACGTGGCACATTTCATCCGTACCACTTATTTATCTTATAACTGGAAGTTTGTACCTTTTGACCACCTTCATCCAATTTCCCATTCCCTTACCCCACCGCACCCCACATCTGCTAACCACCAATCTCGTCTCTTTTTATCTATGAGTTTGTTTGGTTGGTTTTAAAGTATAACTGGTCCACAACATCATCTTAGTTCTTGGTGCACAACATAGTGATTCAATATTTCTATCCATTACAGAATGATCACCACTGAACTAAACCTTTCTTCATGCGCTTCCCAGTTCTGTCTTTGTTAGTTCAACAAACACCTTTCAAGAATGTACTCTGTACCAGGGATAGAACAAAACAGCATTTTTGGCTACCACTTAATCATAGATGCTTTTGATTCTATTCCCCAAAAGTAAATCGTTTGTTTCATTGTGCACCTCATATTCTGTCTCCCCTGCCATTAGAAAAATTACCTGTGACTTTTATTAACATGATTTTGTTTCATGGCCAGTTTAGGCTTATGTTTCCCTGTGCAGTTGTCTTTTACTCTGTTCAGCTGTCCTTGACCACACAACTTAATCCAAGTCCTCAGAAACATGCTGTACGTTACCAAGTCACGCAAGCGTGCTTTCCAGTGAGTCTGTGCAGCCCTCCATCTCGGGCCTGAATTGCTTCCTCAGCACCTCTCGTGAACTCCAGTTGCTTGTGCACTTCTCTGTCTCCCCCAGAGGCTGCGAGAACCTTGAGGGCAGGGCTTGTGTCTTGTTCTTTTCTGAAGTGGTGGCAATACAGTCAGCACTTAACCAGTATTTGCAGAAAGAAATGAATGTTGTCCAGAACATCTTTGTAATATCTTCTGACCTTCTGGCCTTTTCTTTTTATGGGATTGGATTCTAAGAGTGAGTTTTTTGGTCAAAGTCTATATATATTTTTAGGTTTTTTTTAAACATTTTTTATTGATTTATAATCACTTTACAATGTTGTATCAAATTCCAGTGTTCAGCACAATTTTTCAGTCATACATGGACATATACACACTCATTGTCATATTTTTAGTTTTAATAGATGTTGCTATATTGCTTTCTAGGAAAAGTTAAGGCAACTTTCTCCACCAATAATAAATTTTACTGGTCTTTTAGATGTTTGCCAGTTTAATAGCTATAAAGTGATATACCACTGTTTAATTTTTATCTTCCTGGCTATTAATTAGTTTGAGTATTTTTATATGTATTTGTTGGTCATTTAGATTTGTTGTTCTGTGAATTAACTTTTTATATACTTTGTCCATTTTGACACACGAAAGTTTGTATTTACTTCAAGATACAGAAATACAAAAAATATAAAGAAAGCCCTTTTAACCTAAAATTCCAATTCTAGGTATGCATACTACGGAAACACTTAGCTATGTAAACAAAAATATATGCAAAGTATCCCATTGGAATATTGTTTGTAGTAATAAAAGATTAAGTTTAATGAAAAGAAAGTAATTTAATGACTTGTGGTACTTCACTATTGTGAAAGAGTGAGGAATTAAAAAATGAGGTAAATCTACATGTACTGCATAAAAGGAATTCAACATATTGTTGAATGAAATAAGCAAGCTGTTAAAGATGTATTGCATAGTTCTGTCCAAAATTACATATGTACATATGCACATTGTGGAAGAAACTGACTGTCCTTAATCTTAGGAACTATCAGAAGCTCTATTTTGGACTGAGGCTGCAACAGGCAGATAGCAATTGTGAAAGCTAGGTCACATTCCAAAAGATGCATTGAGTTTTTACAATGTAGGAAATATATGACTAGTTCAAGGTAGGAAAAAAGAAAAAGAAAAAAAAACCCTCAATGAGTCAGTTCCATGGGGGTTCAATTAGTTCTGAAGTGACTAACAAGAAGTATGATTTATTGTCTATCAATCCTATATTGCCATACGTTATGACTTTCTATATTTTATTTAGAACCTGTTTCCTGAACCCTGATATCAACAGCTAAAGTTAGCTTACACTTCAGATGTGTAAATGCTGTGTTTGTAGTGAAAACATGTAACAGAGTCCTTATCTATTTTTACAGATCGTCTCTATTGTGTTTCCTAACTTAGATATAATTTGTGATAAAAGTGTATTAACAAAGTTTAATGTTACTTGAGATCATTGCCGCAGCCTGATGAGTCAGCAAGTGGGCTCTTTGTTTTGTTCCCTGGATCATTAATATTCTCTATTATTGAGCTTTCTTTTTTCTTGGTGGGGAGGGAGTATTTAGGTTCATTTATTTATTATTTATTTAATGGAGGTGCTGGGGATTGAACCCAGGACCTTGTGCATGCTAAGCACGCACTCTACCACTGAGCTACACACTTCCTATTATTGAGCTTTCTTATCAGCTTATAGAAAGCTTAAGTTTAGGTCCAAGTGATATGCTTCATAGGCAATAAAATTTATTCCTATTTAATGGAAGATACTCCTTTCTAATCTTTACATTGTTCCCCTCTTAAGAAGATAATTTAACTATGCAGTTTCCACAACTTAGGTGTGTATACATATGCCTGCAAACATCTTTTTGTATGTAAACCCATAAAAGCAAGACCTGTCTGGATATACACCATGCTCTTAACAGAGCTTATGTGCGGAGACAGGGAATGGGAAAGGGGGAGGGAGGATGTTGGAGAGTTCACTCATATTCTGAGTACTTCTATAATGTTCAAACCTTTAACAAGTGGAAATATTTTCACTCTTTTCTACTTGTATAATGTTAAAAAGTGAAAAGAGAAAATAGCTAGTAATTAGCAAAAATTAATATTTTATATGTCTCAGAACAATATATAAGGTGATTACAACTTTTTGGAGTATGAGGATGCCCTTTAATTGTTAATAATTTTCTGGACAATCATACCATAGTAGTTGTACTTTTAGTATCTGTTTAGGAAAGAAATAACTATCAAAAGGCACTTCAAATCCGTTAATACTTTTTAATCTAAATTCTCTTGTCCATAAGATTTCTCTCTAGTCTCTCAGCTCCCTTGCCTGTCATCAGCGTGGTAAAACCCCAACCTTGGATGATTTCATCTTCATGTTTTCCCTATCTGCACACACACGACTGACCCTTCTGGCCAAATAACACAACTCAGCCATGGGTGCTATGCCAACTCTGCGCCATTCAGCACTGGTCCCTCAAAGCTGCCCAGCTCTCCTCCTTTGTCTCCCTAGCCCTCTTCTCTTCCTCCTCTCTTTACTTGTCATAGTAAATATTTCACCCATTCACCATTCTTCTTAAACGTTAGCCTCCAAATAATTTACTTCTCTGGAAATGTTTTGGTTTCAGTCTTCCAGGCTAGATTTTAAGCTTTTTGAGGATTGAGACCTTGCCTGTCTTGCACAAAATTATTTCTT